TGCTAATCATGCTAGAAACATGCTAGTAACTTGCTATTCATGCTAGCAACATGCTAGTTACTTGCTAATCAGGCTAGTAACATGCTAATCATGCTAGAAACATGCTAGTAACTTGATAATCATGCTAGAAACATGCCAGTAACTTGATAATCATGCTAGAAACATGCTAGTCACTTGCTAATCAGGCTAACAACATGCTAGTAACATGTTAATCATGCTAGAAACATTCTAGTCACTTGCTAATCATGCTAGCGACATGCTAGTAACTTGCTAATCATGCTAGAAACATGCTAGTAACTTGCTATTCATGCTAACAACATGCTAGTAACATGCTAATCATGCCAGCAATATGCTAGTGACAGGCCAATAATGCTAAAAACATGCTAATCATGCTAGAAACATGTTATCAACATCTATCTAATCGCAATTTTCAAACTTCAGGCTTTTACAACTGCTTTAAACTTGCAGGCTAGGCTTTCTCAAGCCAACCTAAAGTTTGTCTTGACAAACTTTTTTATCTAGTTCTAGTTATTCTTCAATTTCAACTTATTTCAGTTAGTTGCCAAGGCAACAATTCTGATTTTCGTTTAGTTTTGTGTTTCATCCATTTTATTTCATTTTTTTTCAAACAACAAAAATGTTCTAAATGATTTAGATTTATTTAATACACATACACAACGAACATACACAATCCCTTACCATGGTGACAATGTAAAAGGTCATGAAATAAAGGCGACTCCAGTGAGTAGTTTGTGATGTTACACCTTCCTGTGAAAACAGGGATCAAAGGCTCAATATACAAATGACAGACAGATGCTCATTTATTGACTGGTTCACACAGTAGGATCCATAGGTTTCTGCTACAAACATTACTTTAGTGACACAACTGTCTCTGACACTGCTGACTGACATTTAATTCCAGTAAACAGCAGGGGGCACCACAGACGCACACCAACCAAACAAATACAAACATTTTACTGAAGGAATATCAGATTTTATGACCCGTTGACTAAGTTTAACTGAGTTTTTGTGTTTATACTCACCATAGTGATGTACCAGTTGTTCACCACTGTTAGCTCAAAAAGAGTGACTGAAACATGGCAGAGAAAAAAAGTTACAAAAGCTATATACTGACATGAGAAGAGTGTGTATCTGTGAGTGTGTGTGCACATACCAAAGCTGCTTAGGATGTTATTGAAGTTATTGAGATAATAATACCCCTCCTCTAGCATTGTTCGGTTGCCAATGGTCACATTTTTCTGGCGATACGAGTCAGCGACTCTGCTAGTGCTTTGAGAGACAGAGAACAAACCATTATACACACCAAAAGACATTATTCACCGAAAACCATTTACGGTTATTTTTTGTCCTTTTTTGCAGCTTGATAACTACTGATCCCAAAGTACTTTCATGTACATTCTTCAAAATTTCTCATGCACGGAAGAACACATCTGAATTATCATGAGGGTGAGAAAATGACAGTAGACAGTCTTAAATGATGTTCAGTCTGTTTTGATTTTCATAAAACAAGAAATCCATTTATGGTGATTAAAGGAACTTACTTGCAGCAGTTCGGATAAACAACATCAGCAAAAAACTCCATTCCAACGATGGCAAAAGAATAATAGAAGATAATCAGAGTAAGACCTAGACTACAGAGACAGAGAGAGGGCTGTGAGAGAAGGGCCTTCATCTGTGAGTAATGAGCTGAAATGGATTAATATTTCTGTACCTGGCCATACGCGGGAACAGTTCAAACATTGTGTCCAAAACGTTCCGATAGCGCTGTTTAATTTTAAACAACCTTGACAATAAATAGGGAAAAAAA